TTGGATGAACAACACTAATAGGGCACATGTAAACACTACAGAAACAATTCACCAACTGTCTGTTTCACTGGCTACATGTTTTAGAGTTTGCAGACTGCAAAACATGCCCCTTCTTCACAGTTAACCTCTCACCTGTTTTATTTTCATGGAACATGAACTAACATGGATGGTGTAAAAACTGATGATTTAAGATCATGGCGAGGAAACAGTAGTAACGAAAATCGAATGATACAAGATGAGAGAAAGTCTTGTCTCTTTATGATAAAGAACGGTAAAACCGACAGAAACAGAATAAAGGACAGTAAGAAGGAAGGACAGAGGCCTATAGTGGCATTTTGGAAGTATTGGGTATGTGGGGCTACAAACTAAGAGGTGTTACACCTATCGCTTTCCAACATCCTGGAAAAATACAAGCTGAAGGTGTTCGGTTACAACAGGTAAACATAGCAACCCTGCCGGTCCCTGAAGTCCAACCTAACCGCAGGTAAGCTTTTACACAGTCCCCATATCTGGGTTTTAATGCTGCATATATTTGCAGTATAGTGCCTTGCAAAAGTATTCACCCCCACTTAGATTCTTTATATTTTGTAACACTACAACATTTCATTGGGATTTCATGTTTTTTCTTTGAATGACAAGACAAAATAACATACAGTGGACAGTGGAAATAAAATAATAAATGATTTTATACTTCTTTTATAAAAACAAAAAATAATAATTAAAAGTGTGCCATGGGTTTGGATTCAGACTTTGATATCTCAAATAACACGGTGGATAGTAGGCAGGCTAAGAAGGCCACACATATAGAAAGCAGAGAAACATGGTAACTCTGGAGTAACTGCAGAGATCCATGGCTCAGGTGGGAGAATATGTTGGCAAAACAGTAAACAAATGCCACCCTTTACGGTTTAACATCAGTAAGAAAGTCTAAAGAAACAAAGAAGAAAAAACTGTTAGAGGCTTTAGAATGCTTTAGACTGGGTTAGTTCAGTTTAAGCAGAGCTACAATGAGACATTTGATGGGACCGAATACGTTACTCCTGGTGAGTCCCATCCAGTACGACTGAAGCTAGATCGTTTTCCGATGAAGAACAAACATTTCACTATCTGGGGGTAGAGTCCAGGCATTGCATGGCAAATTTTCATAATGTGGTGTGTTGCGACTGACCATTAAGAGCTTTAGGGGAACTTGAAAGAGACATACTCCAAAAGACTTTCAGCTGTAATTCCAACAAAGCACAGTTATAAAAAGAGTTATCTCAGCATGGATAGACACTATGCACTACACATTTATACAAATTTTACTTGTAAAATCTTTAAAAAACTAGATGTAATTTTTTTACTTTATTTTATACTTTCATTTGTGTTGGGCTATAGCATAAAACATGTATTTCTATCTGCCATTGTTACTGGGATGAACACAGAACATGGCCTCGGGACACCAGGGCTTGTGGGCAGGTCACAGTGTGTAAACACAGCAGGTGAGCCCAGCTTGGAAAAACTGGTTTGATTGCTCTTCCTCTTATTGTCTGATTTCTTCTCATTTTTAAAACATCTTTCGGGTCAGGTTTTGTTCTGCTTGTTCTTCTATTTCAAAGCACTTGATTCACTGACCTGAAGCCAAATTCAACAGAAATACATGCTTCAAACTGTTAAGCAGCTGTTCGAAAAAGAAAAAACAAAGAGCAACATCAAAAGTATCATTCAATGCCTTTATTACACAAATACTACAGTGATGTGTAGCTATCATGTAGAAATACAACAATCAGGTTGGTAAACTGTGTAAAAAGAATGTTAAGACGTCTTGAATTTAGCTGGAAATGTGTCATAATAATGAAAATGTTTATAAAAAGTTCAGGAAACATAATACAATTTGGGAATAATACAAAAGCACTTTAAGGCAGAGGAAAAAAAACAATATTGCAATTTTGTGGCCACAAGAGACTTAAACATAAATAGATGAGCAATTTAAAAAAAATTGGTAACTGACATTGTAACCAGCCAAGCATTTACCAATTAATATAAATACATATATAAATAAAATAAGCAGTGAGCCCTTGATCCAAAGAACAAATAACGAAAGATGATCTTAAACTCAAAACTACGCCAAGTACCAATCACTACTATATACAGTACAACTAAGGCTTAGGATCTATAGATCAGCTTTAGCTGAGGAAGACTTCATCTAATTTTGTGGTGGCATTTTATCAAATTAATGTGACAGCAAACACATGCAAAGCAAAGCTATGCCATGAAATAAAAGCCAAACCTGGATATAAAAGAGCTTTAAATCAATATTTGCTCCTGCTCAGTGGTGAGCACACCTTCCTGACATGCCAACGTATTTTTAAATAAAAACAGATAAAGAGAGGGCTCGGCGCATTTAATAACTGTTTTTTTTTTTTTACTGCTCTCTTTGATCGGTACATAGGCTCAATGTTGATAAGTTTCAACCCATTGCATAGCACAAGCTTTCTCTTTTAAGATCAGTTACGCAATGTTTGCATTTACTTTTGCACTCCATTCTTTCAGTTTGCTTTTCAGTGCATAAAGAAAACTAAAAGGGTTTCCCTTTTTCCTCAAACATGAAAAAAAAAAAATAATAATATATATATATATATATATATATATATATATATATATATATATATATATATATATATATATATATATACAGGTGCTGGTCATAAAATTAGAATATCATGAAAAAGTAGATTGATTTCAGTAATTCCATTTAAAAAGTGAAACTTGTATATTATATTCATACATTACATACAAACTCATATATTTCAGATGTTTATTTTGTTTAATTTTGATGATTACAAATGACAACAAATGAAAATCTCAAATTCATCATATCAGAAAATTAGAATATTGTGAAAAGGTTCAAAATTGATGGCCCCTGGTGCCACACTCTAATCAGCTAATTAACTCAAACCACCTGCAAAAGCCTTTAAATGGTCTTTCAGTCTAGTTCTATAGGCTACACAATCATGGGGAAGACTGCTGACTTGACAGTTGTCCAAAAGACGACCATCGACACCTTGCACAAGGAGGGCAAGACACAAAAGGTCATCGCTAAAGAGGCTGGCTGTTCACAGAGCTCAGTGTCCAAGCACATTAATAGAGAGGCGAAGGGAAGGAAAAGATGTGGTCGAAAAAAGTGTACAAGCAAGAGAGATAACCGCACCCTGGAGAGGATTGTGAAACAAAACCCATTCAAAAATGTGGGGGAGATTCACAAAGAGTGGACTGCAGCTGGAGTGAGTGCTTCAAGAACCACCACACACAGACGTATGAAAGACATGGGTTTCTGCTGTCGCATTCCTTGTGTCAAGCCACTCTTGAACCACAGACAGCGTCAGAAGCGTCTTGTCTGGGCTAAAGAGAAACAGGACCAAAGTTATGTTCTCTGATGAAAGTAAATTTTGCATTTCCTTTGGAAATCAAGGTCCCAGAGTCTGGAGGAAAAGAAGAGAGGCACTTCATCCACGTTGCTTGAAGTCCAGTGTAAAGTTTCCACAGTCAGTGATGGTTTGGGGTGCCATGTCATCTGCTGGTGTTGGTCCATTGTGTTTTCTGAGGTCCAGGGTCAACGCAGCCACATACCAGGAAGTTTTAGAGCACTTCATGCTTCCTGCAGGTGACCAACTTTTTGGAGATGCAGATTTCATTTTCCAACAGGACTTGGCACCTGCACACAGTGCCAAAGCTACCAGTACCTGGTTGAAGGACCATGGTATCCCTGTTCTTAATTGGCCAGCAAACTCTCCTGACCTTAACCCCATAGAAAATCTATGGGGTATTGTGAAGAAGAAGATGCAATACACCAGACCCAACAATTCAGAAGAGCTAAAAGCCACTATTAGAGCAACCTGGGCTATCATAACACCTGAGCAGTGCCACAGACTGATCGACTCCATGCCACGCCGCATTGCTGCAGTAATACAGGCCAAAGGAGGCCCAACTAAATACTGAGTGCTGTACATGCTCATACTTTTCATGTTCATACTTTTCAGTTGGCCAACATTTCTATAAATCCTTTGTTTTTATTGGTCTTCAGTAATATTCTAATTTTCTGATATGATGAATTTCAGATTTTCATTTGTTGTCATTTGTAATCATCAAAATTAAACAAAATAAACATCTGAAATATATGAGTTTGTATGTAATGTATGAATATAATATACAAGTTTCACTTTTTAAATGGAATTACTGAAATCAATCTACTTTTTCATGATATTCTAATTTTATGACCAGCACCTGTATATATATATATATATATATATCAGTATTTGGTGCCTGTTAACACAGTTGTGATTACCCCCATCTTTTTATCAATTAGACAAACTTATCAATCTTCGGGTGAAAAGAGCCAAAACACAGACAGCAGACATGGTGAGAGCAGTTGCCAAGTGTTGTTATGGGACTCCACAACTCTTTATGTAACAGGCCTTCAGGTGTTTACTCAAACTGAGCAGTCAGACATAATTGCCAGTTTGTTTTATTACACATGGAAAACAATCACAGTAGATCTTTTATTTACATATCTTTAAAATGTAAGTCCCTATTGGACGTTGTTGGGCCTCTCCAAATTTAGTTCATGACAGCGCTTTCCACCTATTTGCAACAACTTATAAAGCTGTATTGTCACCTTTAAGATAAACGTGTCTTTTATTGCAATAACAACTTCTAGTTTAAATAAAATGTTGCAGTTTTTTTAACAGTGAGCTATACAGATTTTGTTTTATCTACGGTTTCAAAGCAAAACGGCTTAATTTGTCACAGTTCCAGCTGCTTTAAGCTTCTTTTTTTTTGCTCTGAATGTTGATAATGGCAAGAAATCCTAGACATTCTAATCAATGTAGGGAAAAAAATTTAAATTAGCTAAATAATTAACTCACAATTACTTTTTAGGAATCATAAAGTGGGGCCACCAAAGTGACACCTGTCATTGTGTAAATAAAATTAATTAATATTTTTTGTTACTTCTAATTGGATTTTTTTTTTTTTTGCTTCATTTAATGAATGTAGTCCAATAAAGACAAAATAATATTAGGCTACTGCGATAAAAGATTAATTTATCTTAAGGCTTTTATGAAAAGTGCCATCAAACAATAAACGAGTTTTATATATGTTATCTGTAATGAAGAGCCATTTCAATCACAATAAGATAAAAAAAAGGGGTAAAAAGGTTGTAGAAAGTTTGCTGCTTCAATTTCAAATCTCAGTCTCTTCCACAATGTCCAGCTCTCATCAAACTAAAAGTCAAAACTGCTGGAATATCTTAATTAAGTTTGCAGCTTGAAGCCAGCAGGAGGAAAAAGAACAGCTGTGAGTTGTTTTAACCACAAGCATGCAAATCCACCTGTCATCTATGGTCCTATCATGCAAAACCTGAAGGTGGTATGCACTCACACAGGACATATGGCGAGGAAAAGGAAAAACCAAACATTTCACAAGGGAAGTAAATTAAAGCACTGTTGTGTAATACCATTGGGCAAGGCGAGAGGGCGTGGGATCCAAAAGTAGTAGGTAAGGCTTCCAGATCATTCCAGCAGGATCGTCACGTTTTCAGTCGTGATGACCTGTCTAGTTTGTGGTTAAAGTGAAGACAGAAAGGTTTAGTCACATGGAAATGATTTACAAACCACTCCTTCTTCCGGTCTTTTTCCTTTGCTTAGTTCATGAGTGCCATGGTGCTTTCTGGTTGTCCACCAAAAATCCCGGAGAAAAACTCCAGAGCCAAGCGCATGTGGATGGGCACAAACACGTATGAGGTATAGACCACCATAGCAATGGCAGAGAAGAGAAAAGAATTAAAAATGGACTTCTCCCATGGTTCAAGGACGTAGATGCCAGTGATGAGCAGGTACTGGTAGTATATCCAAGCCAAATACTCCCTCATGTTTTTGAAGTTCATCCTGCCAGCTGGAGGAGAAACAAACAATAAATAAATAAAAATGTAATTAAAGTAATAAAAATACTTAGACACATTTTCTGACTTCTGGAGACAAAAAAAACTGTTATAATATCAAAAACTATTACTAAAAGCGCTCAATTTTCATATTTAACTATATGTGATGGACAATGTATCTGCTAGATTGAATCTCTATGTAAAGCGCAAGAATTTAGATTAGATTATATGGTTTTTGTTCCGCCTCCTGTGAGAACATAAGTATAAGCAAAGGAAAATGCAACCAGAGAAATATGACATAAGACAAGAATAAGAAAAAGCTTTGCTCCTGTTTACACCTCTAAGACCAACAGGATCTCACGAAGACCACTGGAGATAAAAGTTCAAATTTATAGCTACATTTATGTCAAAATTCACTTTAAATATTAATGTTTGTGAAACTTTAAATTAATTGTACAGAAACACATATACATTTATATTTAGTTCGAAACCCACTTCCACAGACCCTTAACTCCACACTGCTTCCCTGCACGATGCCACACGATGGCAGCCCACCCCTTCCCAAGGGGATGGGTTAAATGCAGAGACTGAATTTCTCCAATGTGAGATCAATAAAGTTCAATTGTTATTATCCGTGATTTTTTAATGCACACATCAATTTCAAATCAGGCAAGCATTAACTAATGACACTTTCCCAGCTATGCTTGTAACCATAACAGACATTCGTCTGACCCCATCTTTAACTCTACTGAATTTATACTGAAACACTGTTAAACTTCACCTGACGATAGAAATCAGATTAATATTGGTACTGTAGTAGATAATATGCTTGACTTTGAATCCAATTTTACTCAGGTCCATAGCTACAACTCTATGCTGGCTCTGCATTAGCACTTCTAAAAGCAGTCAGTGCCAGTGATTAAAAGTTGGCCTGCAGATCCCACATCACCCTCATAGTACCACCTGTTTTCTTCCCCAACCTTGGATTTATTCACAAGCGAAAGAAGCAGTGACTGTCTATTTCCCCACCTGATTCTCAGCCAGAGCCTATTTTTAAGTTTCAATGAAATTCTGACAGAACCTAAATAAATAAATACAAAAAAAGAAAAAAAAAAAGAAACGGTGTTTGATTTTGAAATGAAATGTTTGCAGATGTTGAGGAGCTCCTGCTACTTTGGAAGTGGGAGGAGCCAACAGGTAAACGTGTCCCTGCTTACTTGTTTGTTTTTATTTTATTTTATATTCAATTGTGAGAAAACTATAAGTTAAAAACAGTGGTAGATGTAAAAACAATAATACCAGAACTGCGAGAATTTAATTTAATTTAATCAAAAGTAAAGATTATAGGCAACAAAAAGTAGCTACAAATATCAAATAAAGACTTGGTCCAATAAAAATACATGAGGATTTATAATTTCATGGTGAATAATAAATACATGGAATACACAAAAACATCTTAATATTCACCTCAGCCGATGGGAACCGCTGCTTTATCTCTGCTGCTGTCTGGAAACCAAAAGCCGTCTCACCTGCTCGCCTCTCTCTTAAATATATACATATAGATATGCAGCCCTCTTACATGCTTTGAAAACTGCACCACACCCACAGCTCGTGTTTACACTAACCCCTCACCTGGCTCACAGATCACGCAGGTGGGGCGACCGAGGAGGAGGACCGGTTGGCGCAGAGGCCGATGATCCAGCTGGCCGAAGAGAAGCGGCTGGAGCTGAATGCATCTGGAATGCGCCATGCACGGAGCGCTGCTTTGTGCCGCATCTTTAAACTTTTCTACCGCATCCTTGGCGCTGCTGTCCCGCCATCCTACAACCAGAAGCGTCGCCGCAGACCTCTTCAGCCCCCCCACCCGGTCTGACGCAGTGTGCAGCAACAACAGCAGAGGGAGCAGCCCAGACACAGACACCCAGCAACATAGGCGCTTTTAGACCATTTTTTTTTGGGGGGGGGGGGGGGGGGGGGGGGGGGGGGCTGAAGCACCCTTACATTGAAACATAGCACCCCTAAAATATGTTTTGTTTTTTTAATTGTCAAACTAAATTTAAAACAGTCCAAAAACGATACAGTACTTGGAGAAGAAAATATTATATAAAAAGCGGAGCTAGATGGGGGGCCACGGGTGGCCATGTCCCCCCTTAACCGATCTGTGACCACTCCTACCATGTTTTCCCCGCTAAGGGGCTGGTTATACTCCCCGCAGCAGTGTGTCGCAGTGAGCTTGATGCAGACATTTTTAATTCATGCTCAATTTTGAGCGTGATCTGCGCTATATGCTGTGGGTCTAGAAACGGCCAAGGCAGAGAGGAAGTGGGGGCGAGTTTGTCCGACAACGGAGAGACATGACGGAGAAAAAGAGCAGGGATCCAGGTGGAAAAAGGGTCCCTGCATTCTCACGCACATCGCTCTTCTAGCTGGTCCAGCTTCACGAGTTGTTTTCCGCAATGGCGGTAATGAAAACAAAACAAGCCTGCCTCCTGTCTGCGGCACTGTTTGCGGGAGAGGTCCAGCAGAGTGTCTGCGGAGGGGGCGGGGCGTCTTTGCGTTCACTGCGACACCTATGCAGACGACCTCGTTTCGAAGTATAAATCAGCCTTAAAGGAATAGTACACCCAAAACATGATTATCCTTCATTTTCTACTCACCCCCATGCTGAACAAAACTCTGGAGTACTTTTTTGATATCTCAAATGCATCTGGAGATCGGGGAGGCTTCTTGCTGTCTGCTGACATTCAAATAATGGAGGTCTATGGCGCCCGAGACAGAAAGGTCCACAAAAGTCCACAAAAACGTGTCAATATTCCTCCATACTGCTCGTCCAATGTAATCCAAGTGTCCTGAGTGGGTAGCATCCAGAATTTACTCGAAACGAAGTCATTTAGAATGTTTTTAGAGCATAAACAGTAGTGTATAGGATTTCCTAATAGTGCCCCCATGCGCGCTCACGATTCTACGGAAGCCGGCAGACCAAACCAGCGCATTCAGCTCGGCAAAGAACTCATGCTCTTCCTCATCACTGAAGTCCTCAGACATTTTTCTTTCGTTGTTTCTTTCTTTGCACAGGTAAACAGCACATTTCTTCTTCTACGCTTGCATTATCGGCAGAGCAGACGCTGAATGCGCACTTTCATCCGGTTTGGTCTGCCGGCTTCCGTAGAATCGTGAGCGCGCATGGGGGCGCTATTAGGAAATCCTATACACTACTGTTTATGCTCTAAAAACATTCTAAATGACTTCGTTTCGAGTAAATTCTAAATGCTACCCACTCAGGACACTTGGATTACATTGGACGAGCAGTATGGAGGAATATTGACACGTTTTTGTGGACTTTTGTGGACCTTTCTGTCTCGGGCGCCATGGACCTCCATTATTTGAATGTCAGCAGACAGCAAGAAGCCTCCCAGATCTCCAGATGCATTTGAGATATCAAAAAAGTACTCCAGAGTGTTGTTCAGCATGGGGGTGAGTAGAAAATGAAGGCTAATCATGTTTTGGGTGTACTATTCCTTTAATACAGATGGTGGCAGCATCAATATTCTCAAGAGGAATATTCAAAATATTAAAAATCTTCATATATTAATAATTACTTGACAACAAAAATACTGTGTTTAATATGTGGTTATGCACATTAATATACTAATGTTAAAGATGATAAATACAGAATTCTTGCTCTTTTCAGAAGTAGATTTTGTCTTATGGGGTAAAGAAAAATGTTGTGTTTCTGCAAGTCATCTAGGAGTCTTCAGTGAAATCATAGATAACTATTTTAATAAAAACTTAATAATCAATTTATGTAGATATTAGTACTTGTAAATATCAATTTTATGCAGAATGATTATTGATAAAAATAGGTAAGTAATGACAATGGAAAATATGTTTGCCCCAGAACTCAAACCTGAAACATATTATTCACTATACCTTTTATCTAGAAAGCACGAATGTTTAAATACATGCATACAAAATTTTATGCTCATTTATTTTCCTGATGGAACAGTGTAGATTGACCATGAGGTTCTGGCGCACTTTCGGCCACACCCCAGCGTACATTGGTTATTGCCTGGTCACCCTTATAAAAAAGGTTCTGGCTACGCCTCTGCTTTTTAAAGATGGAAAAAATCAGCTGCCAGTGAAATTCAATGAAAATGGTGCCATTCATTTTGAATTGTGGTTCAACAGAAATATTAATAATAAACAAACACACATTTTTTTAAATATTTTTAAAATCACAAACCAAAATCAATATTCCAATCTATCAAATCATAATTTTGTATGTTTTTTTTTTTTTTTTTTTTTTCAGTTTCTTGTTAATAGAATTACTGTTGTGAATTTATCCTTTTCTGTATGGGGAGTGTGTCGAAACTTCAAGCACAACTGTATATATTTACCTTCTTAAATACACTCACAATTTTAGGATTGCAAGCCCAAAGAGGGAGACGTATAAAAGGGGAAGGAGAGTTAAAGGTCAGGAAAAGCCGGGTGACTTTTGGTACAGAATGTCCAAGAAGACAAAAATACAGGAAAGTCTCAGATACGATGTGTTGAACATGTATATAAAAAACATTGAAATGTATCTTACCTTTCCAGCAGCACTAAACCTCTAATCATAGAATTGCTTCTGCCCAGCAACCGGGTTGTTCTGTGTTTAAAGCCACAATAAAGGCTACAGATTTTCAACATTAAAGAAAAATCTGTATAAAGGTAAATTTGAGAACAGCTTCAAATCTGATTGCTTCAAAAATGATTTTTGTACATTTAAAGGAAAAGTCCGGTCAGATTCAGAATACAAACTTCTGAAAGTACCTTGAGTATGAAATTATTACATACTTTTCAATAAATGACAAGTGTGTTTAATTAACAGTACCGGTAATTTCATTTGAATGTGCTTTACCGGAGACATCCATGTTTGTCCAAGAGCACTTCTGGACCCTACCGGTTTGTGACGTCACAGTGCGGTATCAGCTGTTGAGCAAGTCCCAGTGCTGTATCTGGTGTTTGTCACAACATGCTATTATCTATGATGGTGACAACCAGCGCACTATGCAAAGCAGAGAGTAACGGATTAATGACGTGTTTTTTCTTTGTTTAGAAGTTTGATGGCAAATCCTCCCTCTTCAAGTTGGCAATCATGAATTAGAAAGGTGAAATAACTGATTTTTTTTTCACTTTTACTTGATGTATTACAACATCCATCTGCCATGCACGTGGGTATTGCTAGTTTAACTATAGCTCTCGTGAATTTCAATGGTGAAAGCCTCTCGAAATCTTGAATAACTGTTGTTGATTGCAGATGTGTCTAGTAGTTCCCATTGATTTCGCTTGTAAAGCAGGGAGAATGGCGCTATGGTTACAGCACCATGACCTCACTACCGGAAGATGGCAAGAGTGAGGTGTTACTATATTTGGGCAAATATGGCCGTTCAGTGATTTCCATGAATAATATTGTTTTAATTTTTATACTGATTAACGCTAAATTCATTAAATCACCACAAACGTATTCATTTTAGGTATAAATAATGAAACATTGGTTATTTCTTGCTGATCAGACTTTTCCTTTAAACCACAGGACCACCTAAATACATTTAAATACAAAAAAAAGTTGGTTAACCAAGGTATCTAAGAAACTGAGCTTCTTAGATACATAGGATTATATAAGAATATAAATTATATTTAGCACAGAAATTAGATATTAACTTTGCTCCTCCCCAATCTTCCTTTAAACTCTGGGGAAATTATTTCCAAAAATATAAAGTATCTTTATGAATATCAAATTCAGTCCAGTTTATTTGTATAGAGCCAGTTCCCAATGCATGCCATCTCAAAGCACAATTCAATCAGATCATACAGTCGGATTGGTTTTCTATCCACGGAAACTCATCTGACTTCATTGCCTATGCAGGATTAACTCCATTGAGATGTGGCGACAGTAGATATTCATTTGCATTATGACATTGACTCTTCAGCAATTCCTCATACCGCGCATGCATGCAGAGACAGTAAAGAGGAAAAACCCTTTTAATAGGAATAAACCTCCAACAGATCCAGGCTCAGTATCAGTGGCCTTCTATCGAGGAAGACTTGGGGTTCAAGGAGACTAAGGCAGACATTAAAGTGGAACATAGAAAATACTATGTTAAAAACATAAGGTAAAGTAGCTCCACATGGTGTTCTGTGTAGGATAAAAAAAGTGAAGTACATGAGCTTTAAGTTGGTTTTCATGTCCAAAAGGTTGAAAGAGAGTGCTTACAGTCACAGTAAAAAATTAGCCCATTGTTGTCTAGGAAATATACAGGTCTGTGTATTAAAATTAGGCACAACTCTATTATCTTTTAATGAAGTTGATGGTAGTAACCCTGCTGATATTTCAATACAGGATGTTTTCACAGCCAAACAGAACAAGGCCAGATACAGCTACTGTGACAAAAAAGAAGCAGAGAGAATATAAACTAAGGTGTTGAACTAAGAAATATTGCAGAATTGAAGAAAAAAAAGACATAATGAAGCAGAATGATGAAAAGTGGTCCCTATGTCTTCCAGGAGCTTAAGCGTATAGCAGCATAACTATAGATACCTCAGGAAAACCTGCGCCACCCTAACTATAAGCTTTATCAAAAAGGTATGTTTTAAGCCTACCCTTAAAAGTAGACAAGGTGTCTGCCTCATGAACTAAAACTGGTAGCTGATTCCAGAGGAAAGGAGCCTCTGGCTGCAGCATTTTTGGGTCAGCTGAAGGCTTTTAACTACAATTTGTGGACCTTCTGATAGTAAAGAATCACAATAGTCAAGCCATGAAGAAACAAATGCATGGACTAGTTTCTCAGCGTCACCCCTGGACAAAATATATTTAAAATGTTTCCAGTGTTCCAGAGATTAAATAAGGAAATTCTAGAAACTTGTTTGATATATGATT